TCTGGAAAATATTGGTATCTGATAGAAGAGGCTCTGAATGACAAGCTGAACACATCCCTGTGTACCTGGGCTGCATCCCCAATTTTGACAATGTAAGTGCTTTTCATTTAGGCTAGCAACACCTCCACAGAATGAGTAGCTGGAGCATTTAAAAAACATCCTTTATGTGGTCCTGACACATATTCCTGCCTCTTGTATTCGTTGCCATTATGGCCTTATTCCTCTGATTCAATTTCCTTTTTTATGACTGTAATTGTGATTATAAAGCAGTGACAGGCATATCTCCTTACACTCAGAGGTCAGCCTCAGTTCAAATAGGCATCCAAAAGCGTAGATACTAATCTGAAGTGAACTACATACAGATTTAAGGCAGTTTCTGCAACCCATTCTCCTTACTGGTATCAAATTCTTGATGGTAAAATAAATTTTAGGGCTTAAAACTAAATTGCAGAGGTTTAATTTATTTTAGGACATATCAGCCAAAAGAAAAGGCAAAAACTCAGGCCAGCTTGCATATAAAATATGTTGAGAGATTTTTTTCCTTTTCCTTTCTTCCACTCATTCATGGATTAAACTATTCTGGCATATTTGTTGAAGTCTTCCTACTGATGTGAAATGAGCAGAAGCAAAGCTAATCAAATTGACTTATTACTGTAAAAGCAAAAGAAATGTGTTTAATAGCATAAATAAAAAGATTTATCTTGAAAACTAATCAAGAATACTAAAAACTGTCTGAAATTCTGAATAAGTCTTCTCCAGAACAACACATTGAAAAAGTTTTAGAGTTTTCTTTTCTCATCACAAATGACAGGAAAAACAACAAATAGGGAAAATGTAAACAAACAAACAAACAAAACCTCTTCAAACTGTCAATAGCCTTATTTAAGCCAGATAAATTAAAAAATATTTATGTTGGAATTCTTAAATAAAATTGATTTTGAAATCAATAGGTAACGCATTTCTCATACAATATTAATTTTGATATGTGTTTGGGAGAGACTGCTGCTAGCATAAATGTATAAACTGTAGTTGTGTGTAATTCCTCTGAAATGAATTCTTAAGTATTTGTGAAGGCCATAGATATTGCACCAAGCTGTTTATGGCATGTAAGTATTTCTAAATTCCTTTGGGAAGGTTATTAGGGCCAGATATTATACACAATCAATATGGACTATGTGCTGTAAGCCAGGGTGTAATGGAAAAAAGATGTTTTCAGCAACCTTATTGCTAATAATGATCTGAGTTAACCATACTGTTTGTAGAAGCAGTCTGCCTTGAGGGCTCTGCCAGCCTGTTCTGTTCTCTTACGGTGGTCAGAAGCAGAAAGTTCAGTGCAGAGTGCTGTGGCAAGGCAGCGAGGGGTCCCTTTGCAGCCCCTCTGTAGTTACGTTGTTTCAGGAACAGCAAGCAGTTTCTAAACTCCTGCCAAGGACATCAGCTCTTGCCCCATCACTGTTCTTGTCTAACTTAGCTTAAGAGGGTGTAGAATGAGGTGCCAGAGGCAGTCCTGTGCTAGTGCAACGTTCACTGCCTCTGGCACTTAGGTACCTCTACCTTCCATCATCACTGCTTGAAGTCACTGATTCCTCTCCCGTGTGCAAACTCCTTCTTTCACCACTCTATTTTGCTTCCTCATCCACTTCATAAACACGTGTGACTTCAGGTGCTCAGTTTTCTTGCCCTCTTTGCAGCAGGTGCCACACTCTCAGAAACAGGAGGAAGAAAATAGGATGGCATAAATGTAGGCAGGGCAATGTTCCTTCCTGTGTTCTCTCAGATATACAGTCAAGGTTTATTGGCTTAACAAACTGTTACTGGATGAACTGTGCTTCTATATCCATGTCTGCTGTAAGGTGATGCAGTTTATCATGTGTTTGAGCACAGGAGGATGCCTGGCATGACCTTACTCTGACAGTTACAGTAGGTCGATGACATGCTGAGTGCTGTTTTACTGTTGTAACTCAAGGGTAGGTCAGGCTCATCTACCAGTGAAATTTAGAAGGCTTGAAGGGAAAATCCTAGCATACCCACTCCTACACTCTCTTAAAAATCTTAAAAATTAGTTGTGGGACAAAAAGCTACCATCAGCCATGACCCCACGCCCTCATACTTCATCCACAGACATATGTGCACACTATCAAGGCTCTCCAAATGTAAGGGGTGGCAGGGGTATAGGCTGGCCAGATGATCTCCCTCCAATCAGAATAATTTTATTGAGGTCATACGGTTGAAATATATTGTGTACACTAATTTACATGAAAGCCTATATACAGGGAGTCTTCCCTAAGCTCCAGCTCTGGATAAGGGTGCAGGACCTCAAACCTTTTATTTGATTCAGTTTACTGGATGCTTTGAAAGGGAGCAAGGGGGAGAAGAAAAACAAAATTTCAGCAGAAATAAATGAAACATAATGAAACAAATTCTTGACTTCTCTTGAGTTTATCTAATTAAACTGAACTATATTCTTCTCCTTTACATGGTTGTTAATGTTGCTTTCAGGTAGGAGAGGGAAGGGGGTAGTACAACTAACAAATTCCAGTCTTTGTTCTTGAAGACTTCTCCTGAGTTTATCTAATTAAACTGAACTACATTCTTCTCCTTTACATGGTTGTTAATGTTGCTTTCAGGTAGGAGAGGGAAGGGGGTAGTACAACTGAAGATTTAATTTGGAGCTATATCATAAACAAGCTTTCATAAAGCCCAACAGCAGTAAAAGTGGTTCATTACATTTTAGAATGCCTGATGTAAATAAGATCCATGAGTGTGTATGATCCAAGGACCAAAATATTTTACTGTTCTTGAGTTTGATTTCCTTGTTCAGTGTGAATAAGCTCAGCCCACATGCATTTTGAAACTGACTTGAATTTTAATTTTATTCTAATTGTGTTTGCTGTGGTTATGTGCCTCTCATTCCTACTGAGAAGGCCCTCAGCTTTTGCAGAAAGACTCTTTGGAGATTTTATAAGATTATTGACCAAATCAGATATGTGCAGTCAAGTAAGGCAGAGTTATTATAGTCAGTGTATGAGAAGCAGAATTTATTCCATTGACACTTATCCAGGAAGGAGGAAAGGTACATCTGCAAAATTTCTGCAGGAGAAAGGCATTTTGTAAGTGGTAGATGTTTGTAGGCAAACTCCTTTTATCTGACCAGTTATTTACCACCCATGGTGCTCAAGTTCCATTGTCATTGCTTACTTCACAACCCCATGGAAAGAGGAGTCATCTTAGTAAAGCAGAAGTTATAAGGAGAGGGGAAGGGGAGTTAAAATTTTATATTCCCTTTATTTTAACATTGACACATTTTATGTATGCTATGAGAGGGAATTTTTCAGCAGTATTGAAAACCTAACGCCTTTCATGATCCATTTATTTGATTTGTCTGTCAATGTCAGCCAGTTTCTATCTCATCCTGTTTTTTTTTTAAAAAGACACCTAAATATTAGCATATATTGGTCTGCATGGTATCATTTGACCAGAGTTTCATCTGACCTCAGTGTGAGTTCAGTGCATGGAACTCTTAATTTTTTCTTCTTTTCACTTAGTTTAAAAGGGATAAAATATGTCAGAGCCACTTTCAAAGTTATGGCTGACCTAGACACATTTCCAATGGTGTCCATTGGAAAAAAAATATCCTGAATTTCAGTGTTGAGCATGGACGAGAAGTGGCAGAACAGTTTGTCAGTGGAGGACACTATATAGAGCTATTTAAAGGTTGTCCTCGACCTTTCCACCTCTTTTAAAGCTTCTTGAGAGCAATTTAAACCTTTCTTCTGCTAGTTGCCTACTGTCAGTTCCAAACTTGTGTTTGTTCTCTCTGTGCTATGGACATAAGGTATTGGAGCACATTGTGGGGAGATCTTCCAAATGCTCTTTTAAACTCGTGTCTGAGAAAGAGCCCTCAGATTCAGCCAGGTCAACCTTGGCAGTTAAAATTCACAGCAAGACTTATGTTTCCTTGATCTCCTTTCAAGCCAGCTTTTATCAGACAGTGGATTGAAACTGACCTGAATGAAGATGGTGGAAGTTTTGTTATTGACCCTCATGAGTCCAAGATTTTAAATACTTTTTATATATGAATTTTCTTATGAGATGGGTATGTGCATACAGATATACAAATATCAATGCAAATAGTATAAGTATATAATACTAGTAAATTACATGTTTGTAAGCAAATTTCTTGTAAGGAAAATTCACTACCAACATGAATTTTGTCCATTTTATAAAGTCTTATAAGAAGTGCTGTTTTCAACACAGCCTTCAGGGAAAAATTATTAAATACTGCAAGTACTTACATGTGCAGGCTTTTCCACTGCTCAAACATATAATGCCCCAAAAAGTAGCACAAATAGGTGCTACCACAAAGGTACTATAAAATTGTTGGAAAATCACTTACTGTATATTGGAGAATCTTCCAGAATTCCTGGTCTCTAACCATAAATGTAAAATACAGAAATGGAGCAAGAAGTAAGTTACCAGAGGAAGTTGCAGTCCTTGGTCTCTTTTCTCTTATTCTTAACTTCAACATCCTCATTTGAAAAGGAACTTAAAAGCCTAAGTCAGTGTTGTGCTCCCAGATCAGGAGCAGCCCACAACAGGTCCGTGTGCTGGCAGTGCTCACATCTGGCTAATTTGGATGTGTTATTTTATGTATTTCTGTGTCAAAATTGGTGTGAGGTGTCCCCATTTAATAGAAAAATGGAAAGTAAGAGCACAGCTGTTCTGAAGCAATTTGAAGAGTGTTTTCCAAATCTAACATGGGCAGAATAGTGCCTTATTACTGCAAAATCTGCCTTTGATGGTTGCTGCTGTAACCATGGTTCTCTTGTAGTTTGAGCACAGTAAATAAATACAGTGACCACTGGTAGTAGTTTTGATTATTTGTTGATGTATTTGTGGTAACTGCACCTATCTCTCAGCTATTCTGTTTCAAAGTACTGCTTCTAGCAATGCAAAGTGCTAACTGAGAAAACTTTTTTTCTTTATTCCTTCCTTTGAAGACAAAGACAGGGATTTGTTTGCTGCAGGATGGTAACCAGGAGCCTTTCAAAGTGCGACTGCACTTAGCCAAAGATATTTTGATGATCCAGGAGCAGGATGTGATCTGTGTGTCTGGTGAGCCTTTCTATTCTGGTGTAAGTAGTTTCTATTTTTTCTTTAAGATGTACTTCATACAAAGCAAAAACTGCTCTGTGTGTGCACGCATGCATCTGTATCCATTTATTCCCACAGTTTGGTGTTTCATTTTATCTTAGGTATTTTTAATACATCATCTTTTGAGAGTAAATGGCAATACTCATCTAAGGAGCAGCAATAAGATAAGTTGGTATTGTTTCTCTGTACTCACCCTTGCACATTGGAGCCACTGGATGTGATGGGAATGAAGCAAGCAGTGATTTCTGCGGTGAATACAGATACCTCAATGTACCTAAAAATCTGAGTGTTGTCTGTGGAGTTGAAAAGCCAGTTGATTGGTAACTCTTCTGGCAGGGCTTTGCTGGTAGAGGAGTTACCTGCTGTCCTCTGGTGCTTTGATTGCTTCATATGGTAGCACACCACCAGACTTCAATGCACGCTGCCAGCCCATGCTGCATGGGTCACTAGTTTTACCAGCACATCATGTTAATAAAGATGGACTTCACCTACAACAGTGTAATGGTGTGATTTATGTGTAACTCTTCTTACATGATGTGTCAGATTTCTTATTTAAGCATCATATTGAATTTTGAGGATAAGAAACTGAGCCTTGCAGACAATTATATGGAAAAATCTGTAAAATGTTATACAGAATAATACTGTAGGGTTTGGACTACTGTAATGCTAAGTTATAATTCTAGAAAATAGTTTAAAAATATTAAAAATCAATTATTGTTGATTTCTGTCGACCTTTTATAGTACTGTAATCATTTCTGTGGAGATATTTTGAAGATTTATGGGAAACTACCATAAACATTCAGGCCTCCTTTTGAGCTAAATAAAGTTATCATAGAATTTCATGTGAAATCTGGTAAGGCATAGTAGTGTAATATCTGTTTATGCAAATGTTCTGTGACTGCAATTATGTCTGTCTTTTTTATTAGTTAATTGCAGCTATTGCCACATCCCTGCATTTCTAGATTCAGGTATAAAAAAAAAGATACAAAGCAGAAACCAGAAAGAAATTGGTGAAATGTGAATAGTGCTAAGAGTGTGGAAGGTTAATGGAAAATGTATAGGAAAATCTATCTTACTGTTATGAACATCTCAAGGTGAATGGTTCTGAGTTTTTCTCTCAAACAAGAGGAACACACTGCCTACACTGTCTCCATGCAGACTGGATTTATTTGCATGACAAGTCTGATGTTTGCTTTTGGCAGTTTCATGCTGTACAAATACAATTTACTAATACAGGTCTGTGTGCTTTGGATCAAATATAGATGCTTCTTTTACCAGTCAGGCTGTACTCTTCTTCAACAGACTGCATATTTAGCAGCTGAGATAAAAAGAAATCATGAGTTCAAGCTCAGGCTATAGTTGTTCAATTAGCAACACACACTGTGACACTGTTACTCCACCAACCCCATTCTGGCATTATTTATTAAAAGACTTTATCACTCAAAAATACAGCTTTCATTATTGTTCTGTAATATCTATGACTTCTTTGGAACTTGTTATTTAAATGTCTTAATGAAATGCATCTTTAGTTTTTCTCCATTTCACAGCAAGGGTTTATTTACAGTTCTGTCCTCATTGGTTTTGCAACAGTGTTGTAGAAAGTAGTGGATAATTTGCTTCACCAGTTACACTCCCCATATCCTATTTGCATATTGAATGCATAACTCATTAGCTGATTGATATTAGTGTGGTGATGAAGAGTTTCTTTTCTCTTAGAACTGTCATTGTTAGGCTAGTGACTTTTGAGCACATTACCCTGATTTCTTCGGGTTTTAACACTAGGTCTTGAATAAGTAGCTTCGTTCCAACTAAGGGTGATTGGCATTTCACAGACAGTTGACTGTCCTTTAGTCATAGGTTGTTTAAATCATCTGGAATCATGTACTTTGATTATATAGCATAATCAGATAAGTCACTCAGGCTTATTTTTTGTTTGTTTTTCTTCCATTTTTTTTTTCCTCATTTTTATTCCTGATTTATTAGGTTTCTTTTGTTTGTTTCTCTGTTTTTCTTATCTTTTACTTTACTTGGTTGATTCTGTTTTGGTCTTTCTGTCATTCTAGATGACTGACCACATCTATTTTTCTTTTACATGCATTCTACAGAGTAAGAGCAAGTGTTTTCTTTAGCAACTGACAGTGAATGCCTCGTAGAATAAACTCTAAAGAATAAAAATGAAAATTGTAACTGAGGAACAATAAGTTTGTTAAATTTTACAGTCAGGTAGTTACTTTTAATCTGTTTTAATAAATAATCTTCAAACAATTTGATTATAAAGTTCTACTTAATCACTGCTAAGTAAGGAAGGGCTATTAGTTTGTTTCTAGTTCTGAACAGTATCTCTTCTGTTTGCTCTGAATCAATTTGCATGCTCCTCTGTGTGGGACACACTTTAAACAGGCACTTAACGTTCCAGTGGTATCCTGATCTGCATCCTGTGGAATAATCTAAATGAAATCAATGGCTCCTTAGGAATGAGGTGTCTCTTAATGTGAGTATGTGGGCTAAGGATCTAGTTCTTAATTTAGAACATTTGCTTTCTGGCAGGAACCAGTTCCTGTTTCCCAGAGCTAGGGAAGTGCAAAGGAACCTTGTTTTTTCTTTCATTGTATACAGCTTTGAGTAAGAAAATAACATGTGTAAATGTTTATAAGCAACATAAACAGTGTTAAACACTAAAAAAGGATGCATCTGTTTCTTCAGCAGGCCTAACAGAATGATAGTGTGAGTGAGGATCCTGCAGGAATCATACCCATAACAATTCCATACAGCATCAAATCTCATTCAGACAATCAGGGATTAGATCTAAGTTTGATCAGAGCATTTGCATCAATAAATCTGACAGAGAATTCTTTGTGTGCAACAAGGGCTCGCTTTTCAAGACACAAACACAGTGGGTTCTGCATTATTCTACTAGCGGCTCTCTGATGTGGATTGGAACTCTGATACGAATGCCAAAACGTGAGAGGAGACCAATTTGTGAAAGTCAAAGCCTAGAAGGTAGCAACTTTACTAATCCAAATTAAATCCTTGCCTGTAAAGTGGCTTTCTAGTATAGGAAGTGTATGCCTGGCTGGAGGAGCTTGTGTTCTGAAGATATCAATGAGCTTCTCTGGGGAAAATTGGAAGGTACAACCAGTGACTGTTAGGTCAGATACATTTTTTTTCTCCCCTAAAGTCCTGGGTCCTCACAAAGTATTTATGGTATTACTAACAGAGAGGTTTTAATTATAATTGTCATAAATCTCAGTGACAGTTTATCATGGTACAGAACAGTTAGGATTTTTACTCTTTTCATCTGAAGACAAAATGCCCTGAAAACAGATTAATTAAACCATGTAGGAACTTAATTAGAATCACTGGCAGAAGTATAGAAGATCTTTATTTTATATTTACTTTTAAACCTATTTCTTGCATTACATTAGATATTACTCACAAAAGTTTGTTGTAGGGTGTTCCAGGTGACAATGTACAATAAGGCAACTCCCAGGCTTTTTAGACGTATAGGTCAATAACCTGGGCTAACAAGAATAGCCTAATACTGGTCTGGCTGAAAATCATGGTGGTAGCTGCCTAAGATGTGGCATATCTGATCTGAAGTAAGACTCTTGAGTAGATTTATTCCTAGGAAAAGCTTTAAACTGCAATTCTAGTATAAAAATCTTTATATTTTACAGTTAATCCCCACAGTTGCTATCAAATTTCATATGTTTATGAAAGTTAAGTAAAAGGATTATTGTTTTTTTATCAATAAATATAGTTATCTGTGTAGAGAGCTGTGGGTTTTTTTCTTCTTTTCTTTAGTAGATTTTATTTGCTCACTAATTGTACTCAGAAATGTTTTTAATAGAATGTATGTGCATGTCAGATACATAAACCAAGGATATGACAATGTACCATCTGACAAGATGGATGATTTGAATTAGTTACTGTTTTTCTAAAACACTGAAAATAAACTGTGAACAGCTGGCAAATTGCTAAGTTCAGCTACCAGGACAGTGTGTGTTTTTACAACATTTTTGTAAAGGTTCTGTTAAGTCACAGATTTTCTAATTTCAAGATACTAACTCACCTGATAATAACATGCAGATGATTCTCATGTCTTCTTGAGTAATTTAATTCTGTGCTCTTGGATAGTAATGCATTATTTAATTAAACATAAATAATTTTTTAGTAGCTTTTTTTTTTAATCAAGAATCTTTTTGGAAATTGATGCAAAGATCATCATTCAATACTAATAAAAAGTGAATGCATTTTTTTGTGAATTTATAGAGCAGCAGCTCTCTGGGTAGTAAGGCATGTGGCCAAGGATTTAACTGCACTTGATATCAATGTATCTGAATGTAACCTATTGACATAATTGTTTTTTTCTGATAGACAAAAAAACCTTCATCAGTAAATATCTTTTCCAAGGTCAGAAAGTAACACTGACTTAAATGGCTGAACTGTAGCCAGATCTGATTTCTGGCGTTATTAATCACACAATCATTATTTTTCCTGTAAAGATAAGAACACATTATATCTCACTTTTAAAATTGTCCTTTTGCTTTTGTGCAATCAACTGTGTTGAAAGATTTATAACGCTATACGTAAAGCCCATATAGTATCAGCAAAAATAAAGTTGCATTAGAGATAGTTTTTCAACTTGTAAACTTTGCACAGTAGAATGTTCTTCTTTATTTTTTTTTAAAATTTCAGTGATTATTTTTTTAAGTATAAGTTTAAATTCAGAATGCTTTCATTCAGAATAACTTAACTGTGACTTGCCTGAGCAGTCAGATTAAGTAATTAGGTTTCATTGCTTGGACATTTTAGAATTTTGGAGATGTCCTGAGAATGAATTTTAAATGTTACATTGGATCATTCTCCTCTGAGAATGTACAATTTTCTTTTCATATATTTTGGTGTAGGTAAAACAAGTTTAATTAACATTAGCATTGTTAATGAGTAGAAAAAGAAATTTAGAAAAAAGTGAAAAGCT